GCTTCTCCTCTTCCTCCTCGTCCACCTCCTCACCATTTTGTCATCCTCCCTCTAACCCTCCGCAGCCTGCCTCGGGTCTTCTTCGGTCACGTCGCCTCCTCCCTACATCGGTGTTGCCCCTTACTTCGTCGCTGCCGCCACTCCCATCTTCAGAACTTCAGCACCAAGCGCGCGGCCAAGCGGAACGAGATCTTGGACAAGTGGCATGCGTACCTTCTCCTGGCTTCCCGTTTCCCAAGGTATATGATGATGAGGAGGAGGACCGTAGAAAGGACGGAAAAAGACTCCTTAATTCTGTCGCCCGCCCTCCTTCCCCCTCCTCCTCCTCCTCCTCCTCATCTTCCTCCTTCTCCTCCTTCTCCTCCTCCTCCTCCCCAATCCGTTTTCCCTATACATAACTCCTCCCTATAGCACCCCTAGACGTGTCGGTAGGGTGGGCCGGACATGTCGCATGAGGTTTCTTCACTTTCTGGTAAGACAGCTCGAAATTTACAGCAGTGTCGCTGATGACGTTTTATTAAATGGTCGCTCTCGCTCCAGCGCCGCGCACGTTCGTCTCAAAATGTTGCAGCAGCTTCGAGGATGGAGGGCGGGTCCTCTTCAAAATGTCGCTCTTGCTTCAGCGCCGCACGCAGTCGTCTTCAAAGGTTTCAGCAGCTTCAAGCATGAATGGCAAGTCCTTTTTCAAGATGTGGCTCTCGCCCTAGCGCCGCGCGCCTTCGTCTTTTTCAAGCTGTGTACCTCTCCTAAGCGCCGCGCGTATTGCTCTTACACGATTGCAAGAACTTCAAGCATGGAGGGCGGTTTCCTTCAAACATGTGTCTCTCGCTTGATCGCCGCGTGCATTCGTCTTAAACGTTTGCGGCAACTTCAAGGTTTCGTTTGGTTGAAGTCCCAGGAACGGTGTTATAGCACGATTTAGGAATGCAGGGGCGCTGCGGTATCGTGGATGCGCGGTGTTGAAGTCCCAGAAATGGTGGCTCGCACGATTTAGGATCGTCAGGACGCAACAGACACGTTGAGTCGCGTGTGACATCCAAGGAATTGAATTTTGCCGCGATTCTGGATTCTCAGACGCCTGCCTTCCAATGGGGCACTTCCTGCAATGAAGACAAATTCTGGCAGGGACTCATGAAGGGGAACTTGGAGGGAGGGTTCATTGCAACATCGTTGATCTGTCCTGGGTTTGCACTGTTCCTCCTCAGAGTCCTCCTCCTCTTCCTCCTTTTTGTCTTCCTCTCATCCTAGATTCAAAGTTGGTCCAGTGCGTTGGGCAGCACTGGCGTGAGAGGACTGAGGAAGGGGACCCTCTGGGGTCCACGCGATTCCAGAGCCAGCTCTGATCTGGGCGGATGGGAGAGGAGGAAGAGGCTCCAGAGAAGGAGGGGAATACCAATAATGATAATAGTAATAATAATGCGAATGATACTAACAGTAAGAGCAATACTAATACTAATACATGAAATGTCAACAACGGTAATAACAGCAGCAAGCATGACAACAATAGTAGTAATGATACTGCTAATACTCATCAGACTAGCAATAACACAACTATTGATAATAAACATATCATTACCACTACTATTAGTAATGCCGATCATAAAATCAGCCAGCGTTGCCTCCAAATATATTTAGACTACTCAAATCAAGGAATCAGAGGAATCAAGCATGCTTGGCATCCGCAACTCAGCAAGCAAGCACGCGTGCAAGCAAGCGCGCAAGCAAGCAAGCGTGCAAGCAAGCAAGCAAGCAAGCAATCAAGCAGGCATAAGCATAGGCGTAGGCATAGGAGTTCGGGGGAGGCATAGGCAGGCATAGGCATACGTATAGCCATAGGAACTAGGAGGGGGTCATAGGAATTAGGGGGGGCAACGGACCAATTAGTAGGGCTTGAGCTAGGACTCCTATAGGACAAGCCTATCGTGAGAATAACAACCAGATCACTCATAACAGTAATGCTAATAACACTGATGATGCTACTATTCACAGTGTTACGAATAGTAGCACTAATACGCGGATGATGATCTGATTCGTCATAACAAGAGTAC